GCAACACCCCGTCCCCCCACAGCTGATGCCCCCCCGCTTCTCACCCCTCAGGGCCAAGCTCTCCAGCTGAGCTCCTCCATAGCCAACAAGGGGGAAAAAAAAAAAGATATTTTCAGGGCTAAGTCATCTGGACTCTTGTACGTCTCCGTGCAGGATGGTCTGCCCCTGGAAATATTTGCAGGCACCAGGGTGAGTGGGCTGGACACTTCTTTTCTCCTTAAAGCAGATCATTTCTGGTCAGCTCACAAGGGATCTTGCTGCAGCATCACAGCAGGGAAGTAAAAAGCCATGAGGTTTCCAGGGCTGTTTATAGATTTAAGAGCCAGGAAAAACTGGGTTGGAAATGTCATAACATCTGTGGTAGAGTGATCCACTTTTTTTTTTTTTTTTTTTCATTTGTTTTTTTCAAGAGAACAAAAGTGAAACTGCAGGTTGAGAAGTGGGTGCCCCTGCAGACAGACCCCCCACTCACACACCTTCTCCACTGGGACACATCATGGAGAAGTCCCAGAATCTGGAGGCTGAACTCATCGTTTTCTTGGTGGTTTAACATTGTTTTTCACTTGCACCAACAGTGCAGCACTTGATGACATGGATATCTGTTTTTTTGCATGGATTTTTCTGCTTTTAACTGTGCCCCTTCACTCCTGGAGTGTGAATATGACATTTGTTGTGTATTTATCCTGGAGTGTGAACATGACATTTGTTGTGTATTTATCATACTGGGAGAGTCTGAAAATAGCCAGGACAGTGTGGGGAAGGCTTTTTTTGTACACAGAAGAATAAAAGCCTTACGGCCCAAACCCCAGGGAGCCCGGGGAGAAACTGGGAAGACACTCCCAGGTCACACTTTACTGTAGCTTCCCTGCTCAGTGGCCTTTTTCACCATTTCTTCCTTGGAAACCTGCACAGCTGCAAACCCTGGCAGGATCCGGGCGATGAAACCCTTGGTCTTCCCTGCAAACCTCTGCTGTGAGCTGGCTCCTTCCCCACATCTTCAGTGGGTGACCTGCCCTTCCAGAGCAGGGGTGTAGCTGTGTCTGAGATGATTCCTCTTTCACCCGACCAGGCAAGGAGGGATCAAGAGGGATCCTCCTCCCCGCTTCTGCTGCTGAAAGCCTTCTCCTTGGTCCCTCTGCACCAGGCTGGTGGGAGCAGGGGAGACACCATGCCCTGGAAGATGCTTTTCCCATGGGAGGCTTGGTCCTTGCTCTGGGGGTTTGCTGAGCCCTGCACACACCGAGGGAAGGGAGGAGGAGAGATGTGCCATGTCTCACCACGCACCAAATCCTCCAGCTCTTGCTACTGGAAAGGACGGCGCTTGGGGAGGTCATTGCCAGGATCCTGTTTGGCCCCACGCATCTTTCTATGAGTCCTCGAGACAAGAAGAAGTAGCAGCATCCTTCTGCCCTTGCAGCAAAGGTCAACAGTGTCTTGGGCTGCATTAGGAGAAGCATTGCCAGAAGGTCGAGGGAGGTGATCTTTGTCCTCTGCTCAGCACTGGTGAGGCCACAGCTGGAGTTCTGGGTCCAGTGCTGGGCTCCCCAGTACAAGAGAGACATGAAGCTACTGGGGAGAGTCCAGAGAAGGGCCACGAAGCTGCTGAAGGGCCTGGAGCATCTCTGCTATGAGGAAAGGCTGAGAGAGCTAGGACTGCTCAGCCTAGAGATGAGATGGCTCAGGAGGATCCTCCCAATGTGCATCAACACCCGCAAGGAGGATGCCAAAAGACAGAGCCAGGCTCTTCCCAGTGGCGCCCAGAGCCAGGACCAGAGGCCATGGGCACACACTGGGACACAGGAGGGTCCCTCTGAACATCAGGAAACATTTTTCACTGTGAGGGTGACCAAGCCCTGGCACAGGTTGCCCAGGGAGGTGGTGGAGAGACCCTTAGACATATTCAAGAGTAATCTTGGCATGATCATAGGCAAGTGGCTCTAGATGGCCCTGCCTGAGCAGGGGGTTGGACCAAATGACCTCCAGAAATCCCTTCCCACCTCAACCAGCCTGTGAGTGTGTGATTCTGTAGCTGCTGGGGGAGATACCTGGTGTGTCTGCAATCCCACTGCACTCCTGTATCCATGCCCGGGAATTCCTGCTCTACAAAACTATGTGAATCCTAATTCCTTGGGGGGGGGGGGGGGGAGGTTGAGCTTTGTGATCAAGAATTGGTCTTGCATTGTCTTTGTGCTACTTTGTGCGCTTCTCAGCCCTTGGCGTTGCTGTCTGTCAGAGTCATTTCATCCATTTGCCACCAGGAAGCTTTTGGTCTTCCCAACATGTGTGCACAGACACATGGAAGTAGGGTTTTCTGGTCAAATCTGAATCCAGTAAGTCCTCATGGTACTTTGTGCTTGGGTGTATTTAAAATATGTCAGTGGTGTCGTTCCTCTGCTTGATAGATGCGCTCATGCTGATTTGGTGCTGCAATCTGCTTTATGAATTAAAATGCAATATTCCCTTTAGTCATAGGCTGGAGAGGTGGAAATGCAAGGACACTATCTGATAAAGCATGTTTCTTATTCATAGTACCATTTATGGTTTTAAGAGTAGCTGCCCAATTTATATGTAGATTATACTCGCTAACATCTATCAACTTCATTGCTAAGGAAGGAGGATGAAGGTGAATTTAAAACAAAACCCAGGGAAAGCACGGAAGCCCTTGCAACACAAATCTTTGGATTTTTGGACTGTGGGTCATTCAAACAAACTGGAAATTGCTGCTTTGGCTCCTCCTCCAGAGCAGGAAAGGTCCACGTCGCATGCACCAGTCTGCTGCTGGTTTGAATGGGAATCTACAGCTGCCCGTAGCCAAGAGGGTGTCGAGCAACTGAGACTGGGCACCCAGTTTTCCCATCCTCTCGTGCCCCCCTCCTTCTTCCCAGCCCTCTCTGGCCCTTTGGGCTATTTTCTACCTTTAAGAGGTTAAGAAAAGCTCAGAGATGAGCAGCCCCTTGTGCAAGGTTTTATCTTGTAGGGAAGTTGGGGGGTTTCTGCCCCCACCTGGGAACCTCAGCGTGAGCTCAGTGCCTTGGGGCAAAGACATTTTCTTAAAGCTGCATTATTATTGTACCAAATTTATCACCCTTTATCTGGTGGATGAGATCTGACTTAATTCATGCCTCCTGGCTACCCTCACCAGTGTGTTCTCATCCTGGGAAATCACTGCTGCTGCAGCTTCTCACATCAGCCATTTCCTTTGATTCTTCCCCTGACACCTCTGTTTTCCTTAATTTAAACTGTTATGTTTTACAACTTAGCCAGCATTTCTATTTCAAAGACCTACAGAAGCCTGTCAACACTATTCCATCCCCTCCAGCAAGCTCTGTACATGGTTCCTCCTCCTTTATGCCATTATGTCATTACTTTCTGTCTCTTACCTTCCCAAAAAAATAAATAAAATAATTAAAAAAAAAAAAAAAAAACAAACAAAGCTACTGTGGGTTAAAAGAAATTGTCTCCTGTAAATGACTACCTGGTTAATAGAGATGATGTTCACAAGAGTAGAAAATAAAGGGGAGGCAGCCAGGAACTGGTTTGAGTCCCATCTAGTTTGTCATGCTGTTGCAAGAGAGAGAAAAAGATGAAGCAGGGAAGTGGCAAACTTCCCTGTGATACAAATTAGGAAAGGAGGTAAATGTGATTTGGGAAGAGCTGCAGAAAAACGCCACAATCCTGAATCACTGGGTGATGGAGCAGTCACGTGTTGGCGTCGATGAAGGCAGCGTAACGCAGGTGGAGAAAGATAAACCAATAACATGCACTGATGAGTTGGAAATTAAGTGTTACCACTTGGGAAAGGGCATGAAGACACCCATGGTGGGTCTCTGAAAACAGCAACTCAGCACCATCACCTGCCTCCGAAATGGAGCAGAATAATCATGAGCACTCGGAAGCAAAAGGAGCGAAAACAAAAGCTTCATTATCCCACCCCGTGACGTGTATCGAGAGGAGAGGAGAGGAGAGGAGAGGAGAGGAGAGGAGAGGAGAGGAGAGGAGAGGAGAGGAGAGGAGAGGAGAGGAGAGGAGAGGAGAGGAGAGGAGAGGAGAGGAGAGGAGAGGAGAGGAGAGGAGAGGAGAGGAGAGGAGAGGAGAGGAGAGGAGAGGAGAGGAGAGGAGAGGAGAGGAGAGGAGAGGAGAGGAGAGGAGAGGAGAGGAGAGGAGAGGAGAGGAGAGGAGAGGAGAGGAGAGGAGAGGAGAGGAGAGGAGAGGAGAGGAGAGGAGAGGAGAGGAGAGGAGAGGAGAGGAGAGGAGAGGAGAGGAGAGGAGAGGAGAGGAGAGGAGAGAGAATGGGTGGCAGTTGGAGGAGGGATGGTGGCAGTTGGAAGTGGGACTGGTGTGCTGGGAGGTGGTGGAACAGGCCCAGGTGACAGTTGGGATGGGATGGGAATGGCATGGGGATGGGAGGGGGAAGGTGGGATGGCAGTTGGAGAAGGGGTGGGGTGGAATGGGATGGGATGGCATCGGATGGGTGGCAGTTGGAGAAGGGAAGGAACAGGAGGGAAAGAGAGAGAAGGGGAGGGGAGGAAGAGCAGGCAGAGGGGGTTGGGTTGGTGGGAGGCAGCAGATGGAGCCCGGGTGGCAGTTGGAAGACAGCAGGACAGGGCTGGATGGCAGCAGGGTGAGGGGTTGGGGTGGGGGCAGGACAGTTCCAGGGCCAGAACTGGCCCCCAGTGCCAGTTAGTGGTGCAGGAGTGAAGCTGGATGAGAGCAAGAGCAGGGGCTCGGGCACAGCGTGGGGCTGGGGGGGTCCGATGGCAGTTGGGGGGGGCCAGAAAGGGGCCAAGGGAGATGGGGAGTGGGGCCAAGAGGTCTGCGGGGAGGGGAGGCATGGAGCCACAGCCGAGGAAGGCGGTGGGGATGGGAACAGGGTGACAACCCCCCAGGGTGGTCTGAGGCCAGGGGAGGTTGGGGTGCGGGCTGTGCTGATGGAGTGTCCCCACAGGGGTGGCCTGGCTTGGAGGGGGACGGGGATGGGGTGCTGCCCACCCCCACAAGGCATGTGGGTCATGGGAGCAATCCTGCTCCTCTGCCCAGGTGAGGGGCAGGGAGAAGGGGGGATGGAGCAGGGCTGGGTACCCCTAAGGGCGGGGGGGGGGGGGGATGTCAGGGGGAGAGAAGTGGGATGGGAAGCAGGCAGGGGGGTGTGGGGGGGATGCATGGGGTGACAGGGGCTGGGGGTCGGGGGCTTGGGGACATTGGTCAGGGGAAGGCGGCGGGGGGACACGGGCTGCGGGAGGCAACCTGGGGGAGGGGGGGGTGTGGATGGGGGGTGCGAGGGCAGGGATGAGGGTGGGGGGTGCCAAGGGAGGGATGAGGGTGGGGGGTGCAGACTGGGGACACGGGCACGGGACGCAGGGTGGGGACAAGCATGGAGGGACATGGGCTGGGGAACACGGGCTGGGTTCGGCATCTTGTAATTACAGAAGTCATCTCATTCTTCCCCTTTTTAAAAAATGTTCTCTGGAGGTTCTTGTATCCCAGGCTTCATTAGAAGGCAGCAAAGAGCTGCTCAACCGCCTCCTTTATACCTCTCGTCAAAGACAGATGGACTCACAGAACTTCAACATACCAAATTTTTCAAGCTTCCACTTACAATCCTCCTTCTGCACTGCAAGGGTGGGAAATCCTTCATTGCCTGGTGTGATTAATGCCCTTTTTCCCTAAACGCAGAATCCCTTTCAGGTTCTACTGAAGATTCAACAATCATCTACTCGGAAATTACAGTGCCCAGGCAGCTGGAGGCAAAGGATGGGACCTTCACAGAGGTCATTTGTTTTTTCAGAAACGCTTTTTCAGCCGCGGGTCTAGAGCGTGGCCTCTGTGGGGGCCGTGGGTGGGTGCCCAAGGGAGAGCAGGGCAAGGAGACAGCTCTGGCTTCCCAGCCAAAGTCAGCCTGTAAATAGTGTTTCTACTGTTGGATTAATTTCTGAACTTACTGAGTGCCTCGGCAGTTCCAGGGGGACGTGTCCTATTTAATAACAGCAGAAGGAAGTCACCACATCGTCCATCTGACGCGGGCAAAGTAAGGCTCTTCCCCAGTTTTCCTTCCTCTGTTATTTTTTGCACAGGGACATTACGGGGAATTAATGGACCCGTGCCAAGGATTTTCTGCTTTGCTTTTCAGAAATCTGATAGCCAAGGACATCCCGATTTTCACATACAGTCCAGAGGGAGAGCTGATAACCGAGTTTCCATATATTCAGGTAAGTTTAGACGTCTGCCAAGGGTTCAGCGACAGCCAGAACTACACAACCCTCCTCCTCCTCGCAGGGTCATTCAAATACACCAGTGAATCTAAGCAAGGGACAGCTTTCTGTTTCTAAAAAAATCTGTTATTTTTACACAGCTTGTTTAAAAAAAATGGAAGGAAATTGTATAGAGACTGATAAAAACTGGAAAAACAATTTCAGGTTGATCAGCACACCCAATTTCCCTTTCAAATTTTTAAAGCTTTTAAAATAATTTTACTCAATGAAAAGAAAAATGGAGAAATCGCAGAATTCCCCTCTAGAAAATTCATCATTATCCAGCAATGAGCTCTTAGGCTCCTGCTTTTTCCCTGCTTACCTTCTATGCCTTCCCCTTTTTTTGCATGTGAAATCCCCCTTTCAAAGTGGTAAAAGATGGTTTTGGGGAGGGTTTATGTGTCACTTCACTGATGCAGGGTTGGGTTTTTTTGGCACGGGAGCTTTTCCCACAGCCTGAAGCCACATTTGCACCTTGCAGGATGACTGCTACTACGAGGGGTTTGTGGAGGGCTCCCCGGGATCCATCGTCTCCCTCAGCACATGCTTCGGGATCAGGTCGGCCTCTTCCCAGGGGAGAACGGGGGGTTCAGTATCAAATCAACTGGGATGGCGATTTATCTCCCTTTTTAAAGCAGGTACCCTCAATTCTCCGTGTGATGCTTGCTGCTGCATCTTCCTACTAAAATTCAAATCTTCAAACACGGCTGAGATCTTTTTTAGCGTTACAGATTTCACAGCATCTCCAGTATAGATTTTAAACACAGATATTTCATAAAAAAAAAAAAAAAAAAAAAAAAACAACCAAAAAAAAAAAAAAAACAAAAACAAAAACAATTTTTAATTAATTTTTTTGCCAAAAATGGCAGTCTGTAAGCAGATAGGAGGTTGGACATGCCAAGACAGTCCAAAGATTTATTTGGAAAGACAGCAAACTAACCAAGAATTTCTCAAGCAACTTTCCTCTTCGGGGGCACTCTATGTCTGGGATATATTTATTTCTGATAGTGCAAGCTCTGAACAGGAGACAGAAAGCGAACCTGTATGGGCATAACAATCTCCAACAAATCAAACTTCCCAAAACATTGCCTTAAACCCATAACCATCACCAACGTCCCTCCTGAAGTCCTCCCTGTAGAACTCAGTCTATAATATCAGTTACAGGGAAGGGAATACCTGCGTAACCTGTCTGCAGAATATTAAGAGAATATGTGAATGAACCATGCACAGCCCAGCAGATCTTTCTTACATTATCCCTCTGTCCCTCTGCAACGTTATCAAACCCAAATCCTAGATCTTCTCCAGAAATACCAGCCCTGGGAAGCAGGAGCTGCTTTTTTTTTTTTTTTTTTTTTAAGAGATTGTCCTAACTTGGAAAACGCTTCATTTTATTTCGCATTATTTTCACTGGTTTTGCTGGAAGGAAGTTATCCAGCCTCCCCCACAGCCCCCCATGGTTTACAGCACCCAGATGCCCATGATCTGCACCAGCATCAGATTCCCACAAGACTTAACGTCCTTCACAGCCCGGATGCAGGGGACTCACAGGGTGGGAAAACAGCAAGTTTTTTCCCCATTAAAGACCTTGGTAAACACACTAGCACAACTGCCTTGAGCAAAGGCTTCTGGGTTTCCAGCTCAGTATTTGAGGAGGCCACATTTTCCTATTGTGATACACAAACCAGTGATTATGAACATTTTTGGACTAAACTCAAACTCTGGCAAAGCTAAGACCCACCGAGCCTCTCTTACAAGATCAGGCATAAGACCAGGATTGAATAGACCTACCTGCACCTTCTTTCTCAAACAAGCACCCCAAAAGATCTCCAAATTAAGTGAGTTTTTTTAGGATACAAATTTATTGGCAGATGCAGCCTATTTAGCTGCAGTGTCTACATGGGGATAAACAGATTTTAAAGACTGGTGCTCCTTGGAAGAGCTGTAGCACAGTGCTTTTATTGCCTTCTCAATTTCATTTAATATATAGCATTCATCTGCACATTCTTTGCTTTTTCCCAGAGCATGATTTCTCCCTCAAGGCTGTCTTATGTATCTTAAACCTTGGGCATGACACTTTTTTTCCATAAAAGGTCTTTTAGGTGAGCTCCTTGTACCTTTTCACAGGATCCTTGCCCACAGGAGAAGTGGTATGAACGAGCTAAATCATTCCATATCCCTCTTTTCAAAGAAAAAAACTCAAAACATAAAATATGGGCTGATCTTAATAGCCCTGAACTCCAGAGGTGGCTCCCGGAGCTTCTACCTGTTAGTGAGATGCACAGGGCTGCCCTGCACCTCCAGCCACACTGTGATGAGCACCCTGCACCTTGTTTATTTTTGTATTTCCTAAACAATTGAAGAAGTCATTTAGATCACATCTCTGACTGACTTCTCTGTCTGAAAATTCGCAGCGGAGTTTTGCAAATTGGAGATCTGAGTTACGAAATCGAGCCCGTGGAGAACTCCTCGACGTTTCAACACCTCATTTACCGAAGGGCGTTGGAAGGCGGCTCACATCAGCTGTGCCAAGTGCCTGAAGAGCACCAGGACCATCTGCTTGAAGATGGAGAACTTGTAAACGTGAGTCATAAAATCCTTGTTATCAAAGTAAGGACTCTCCATCCGCTCGTGTCAATGTTGCACATTCATGTGTATACATACAGGTTATGGTAAATGTTGGGGGTGATCCAACCATAGAGAAAATTCCCGTTGTATTCATAAAAGCATGACAGGGATTTCACACCATAAACCATCAGCAGGTCTGGAAGCAAAAAGGATTTCTGTATAGCGACAAGGAGCAAAGCACCCTCACATGGTATGGAAACCATACCCACAGCCGTGCCTCAGCATCACTCTGTGAAATTAAGACCCCGTTTTGTTGCTGGAGGAGTGTTAGGTAGCACTTTGTCAGCTGCAGATTACCCTGCCCTGGGTTTGCTTCTCTCTTGAGATCCCTTCCCACTCGCCAGTTCATCTCGCAAGCCCTGACAAAAATATTCAGGTCTTAAAAATGTTGGTGGAACTGAAAGTGCAAGTAGCAAACAAGAATTTTTTTTTTTAAGATGGCAATAAAGAGGGGAGTTGACATGTCTGTCAGCTCCAGAGGTAAAAGCAGCTGAAGGTTTAAAAAAAAAAAATCTGAAATGATTAATTATTTTTAAACACAGTTAGATGATGTTTCTAAACAAGCTGTGATCAGAAGCTACAGGAGCAATTTCAGTTCTTACTGACATTCTGTTATAGATAATAAACCAATATTCTACTACCTGACTCCAGAAAGGAAAGCGTAGACTCAAGGACCAGGGGTCTGTATCCAGCACTCTTCCCTCTAGACCTTCCTCTTGTAGGGCTGCCCCACGGGGGCTGGAGGTGCTCCTGGGCTGCAGGTGCTACCAGCCCCACCGGTGAATCTTGAGCTCCATCTCAAAGGACCATAGGTTGGAAGGGATCTCAGGAGGTCGCAGGTTCAGCCTCCTCCTCCTCCACGCAGGGTCAGCTCCGGGGGGCAAACCAGGTTGCTCAGGGCTTTACCCAGTCGGATCTTGAAGACCTCCAAGGATGGAGCCTGCACAACCCCTCTGGGCAACCACCTGCAAGGCCTGAGCCTTCCCAATTGGTGTGTCAGAAAGAGACGCCCTGAGGATGAAATTCCCCTTTTCTTCCCATTTTTCTGTCTGTGCCGCCTTTCCCTTATCTCCAGGGGGACCTGGAGGTGCAAGACTTTGAGACCATGGCTGGGTGCCCCTCTCCCAGCAGCAATTTGTGCTGAGGTCTTGTGAGCACTGAGTAAGGGGGAAGGTTACACCACCTGCCTTACTGACGTGACTCCTAGTCCTACACCCTATCTGCTTGCTCTTCTTTGCTTTTTTATGCTCTTCTTGAGCAGCAGAATATTTTCGAGTCCCATCACCGTTCATCGTACTTCTCTGATGGAGCTGTCCACAAATCTGTCACCACACTCTGTCAACCACAGGGATAGATGTGGAGCAACTTCTGCTCTGGGTCTGACTCCCTTGGGCCTTCATTTAACGCGTCTTTACATCTTGGCAATAAAGATCAACTCTGTGTCTGTAGTTAGTATTCACCTTACAGTAAGCAAATCTACTGCCCCAGTTTGCTTAAATTACACACCAAAAAAAGCTTTAGTGATGTCAAAATGCACACATCTGCTAGTTCTTTTCTGTTCAGAAACACAGTTTCCATGTTTTCAAAGGAAATTAGATTGCTCTGACATCATTTGATATTGGATATTACTGATGCGGATGTTTCCAGAAACGCCTTGGTTAGAAAAATAGTTTATTCGCTTTGATTTGCGAATGCTTTTAGAGCTTGTGAGGACTTCTGCCACTGCTGTTCCTGCTTTCAAAAGCGCTGAGATAAAGTGTTATTTTTGTACCTACGAGTGTGGATTATTTATAGCGACAGCCTGGCCTAAGCCAGCCTACTGTAATTGTGTTCGGTGAAAGAAAGAGTGACATTCAGAGATTCTGCCTCCTGATAGTAATATGAAGCATTTAGATGGAAGAATTACTTATCAGCTCCCATGGTGCAAATATAGTTTTATAAATTGCTACAATTTCACTGAATTTAATGAGAATCTGCCAGGGAAAAAGGAATAATAGTAATGGTAATAGTAATAATAGTAGTAGTAGTAGTAGTAGTAGTACTAATATACAAGAAGAAGAAGAAGAAGAAGAAGAAGAAGAAGAAGAAGAAGAAGAAGAAGAAGAAGAAGAAGAAGAAGAAGAAGAAGAAGAAGAAGAAGAAGAAGAAGAAGAAGAAGAAGAAGAAGAAGAAGAAGAAGAAGAAGAAGAAGAAGAAGAAGAAGAAGAAGAAGAAGAAGAAGAAGAAGAAGAAGAAGAAGAAGAAGAAGAAGAAGAAGAAAGAAGAAGAAGAAGAAAATAATAAGAAGAAAATGAATAAGAATAAGAACGAGAATAAGAACGAGAATAAGAACGAGAATAAGAATAAGAATAAGAATAAGAATAAGAATAAGAATAAGAATAAGAATAAGAATAAGAATAAGAATAAGAATAAGAATAAGAATAAGAATAAGAATAAGAATAAGAATAAGAATAAGAATAAGAATAAGAATAAGAATAAGAATAAGAATAAGAATAAGAATAAGAATAAGAATAAGAATAAGAATAATGTGGTATTTGTTCAACAAAAAAGAGAGATGATGCAATAGCAATTTTTTAGCCATGCATACTTCTGTAACAGCCAAACCATTTAGACAGTTGTCTTGCAGAGAGAGCAGCTCCTCCTCCTTTCTTTTACCACCAAAACACCTGGGAACTACTCAAGAGAACTGCTGAAATGGCTCCCACATTCCCATCTCAGCTAGTGCCAAGGCCACCACTCAAGCTTTTTTAGGGGCAGCTTCATTTTCTCCTCGTTACTTGACCAAATCTGCAGAACTTGAACGCCCTCACAGACTCCCCGTGTGCTCACCCCAGCAGAGATGGGACAACACTGTCACCTTGCTTGGAGGAGAAGAATAACCCCCCCAAATTACCAACTAACTAATTGCTACCAGCGATTGATGTGCTGGATGTACAGAATGCAAGTCAATGAGCTCTACCCAGCTCAGGACTGAGTGCATCACACCTACAGCAGATTTTTTTTTAACTATGGAACTGCTCATGCATAGTTAAACATGCAAAGGGCACAAGCAAGAAATACTAAAAATCTTCTTTCCAGAGGCTGCTGGATCCCGGGCACAGTACACAGGGTGTCTCGCTGGCTGGGTCGAGCAGCAGACACCCTCCCATTTGCTGTGTAACGGCAGGTGTGCTGAGCAAAATGAAGCAAAACCAAGAGTTATCTTAGCGGCCCTGGCATGGCTTGAAAAATTGCAGTTCAGGACCAGTTTTTATCTGCAATTATCTGCTCAAGCCTTCTGGTTCCCAGCACTGAGCTGCTTGATGCAGGCTTGGTGCTGACTTCTCTCAATTCTCCCTTGGAGGCAGTTTTTGTGGTGCCACTTTTAACGGTTTAAAAAATGGTCTGAGCGCGTGCAGAAGTCTGCAGCTTGTAGTGAGCTGATTGAACGCCAGCAGTGCCAGGTAATCCCCCTGCTACCAAGAAAGCCCCATCTACAGCTGTGTTCTGTCTCTGAATCTCTCTGCTCTCACCCTGATTACTCATTAATCCTTCTCTAATGCGGAATTGCTCTGTGTTCTGGTACTTAAGGGAAATTCTGGATTAGTTCAAGTAACACCACTCTGCATTTTTGCAATGCGGTGTAAGCTGCAGAGCTCCTGGACATACCTCAATAACCGCAGCGTCATTTGTTCGCTTCCAGGAGGTTCCTGGTCTCCCAGTCCTCCCCGTGCCCACCAGATACTTGGAGCTGGCTCTGATCACAAACAAAGAACTGGTGAGGATCAGGAACCATCGCCACGCGACGGCCGTTGCGTTATGGCAGAGACAGGCCTTGGCGTCCAGCGTGGTGACGCAGCCCTTCTCCTCTTCCAGTTCAAAGTTAACCACCGCAACGAGACCCGCATGCTGCATCTGTTCATTTCCATAAGCAACCTCCTGAACACGGTGAGTTTTAATGATGTGGTTTTAGTTGTGAGCCACCGTTTGCCCTGTCGGCCGGCTGCCTGACCCGCTGCCCTGGGAAAGAGGTGAACAATCTGCGCCTGGCTGCAGCTACTCCACCAGGAACCAGTGTGTTCCTCAACACTATAAAACCCACTCCAACTGCTAAAAAAATTGCTTCAAATATGAGCGAAGCCAGTTTAAAGATAAATTTTTAAATCACTCCTTTTAAAACACTTGATTGGGATGAGTAATGAGCTACTAAATGCTTTTTGGTAGCTCATTACCATCTCCCTGTCTCTTCACCTCCTTCTTGCTATGCGTCCTCCAAAACATCACATGAGTTTTCATCTTCTGCTGCTTCTGTGTGAGCACAGCAACAAGGCACCAGTGCATCAGCTGCAAAGCACTCAGCCACGAGCCACACAGAAAGCTCCATTAAATCACATTCATGTGCAGAAATAACCGGCACGCTCAGCTCTCCCACTTCGAGCAAGAAGCTGGTTCTTGCACGCGGAGGTGGTGGAAGCTCTTGCTCTCGTCCAGGTCTACAAGCCCATGAAGCTGCAGATCATCATCAGCGCGGTGGAGATGTGGACCAGGAGGGACCGGGTGCCACCCGGCCGCAGCCTGGCCCAGGCACTTCAGGGCTTTGCCGCGTGGTGCCAGAGAGACGCCGTCAGTCGCATTAATTACGACCATATCCAATTATTGCTGTAAGCATCCCGCGTTTTAATCGCTCAGCTCGTGTGCCGGCGCGGGGGAGATAAGCAGGGAGCAAGGACATTTTCATCTTTCTTTTAATTTTTACATATATATGCTGATGTGTCTTTTGTCCTGGTCATATCTCGTGGAAAAAAAAAAAAAAAAAAGTAACAGCTTAATCGGTCTATGTACTAATCAGCACAGATTTGTCATGCAAATTGATACAAGAATTCACTTTTCCCTTTCACTGTCCTCTTTTATATTTTTCCACACATGTGCACACACCGAGTGTACAGCTCATTTCCAATTTTGATATGGTTGTCTGTAACTGAATTATTTAAATCTCATTTTTAGTTTTTACTCACTTTTATATATACAAGCCACTCATTTTTTAGATATAATAATTCATTTCTATATGGTCTACAACTCAACATTTCAACTAAACCTTTTCACTAGGACATGGGAGTTAGATCTCAAACTGCAAGATGTTTAATCACTTCTTTCATTCATTTGCTTTTTAAGAACTAGCACCTTGTTTCTGTTTTATCTGTTCCCTTTTCCTTCATTTTGGGGGAAAAGAAACCTGCATAATAAAATGTATATCTCAAAAATTATTGATTTTATTTTTCAAATTCAACGTATTATATTGCCAAATCTATTTAAAATCGTTTTGAATAATTCTATTTTATGGAAATAGCCTACAGGCCACTCTTCCTTTTAAAGTAGGGAGGAGGCCAATGAGTTTATAAACCGTGGCTCTGCCTCGCTGGTGCTTCCACACCTCATCTGTAGGTACCAGCCCAGCTGCATATGGGGCTCCCATAGGAGAAACGGGTGATGCTGCACTTTTCTTCAAAAAGGGAGCTACTTGTTACCCAAACCCGTTATTTTCCAGCTGCAATTCAGGTGATGCATCCCGTTATTAAAAGTTGTCCTGAACTTCTTTAATGTTCACATTTTCCCACTGCAGTGGCCAGCGCTACAAGGAACGGGGATTTGCCTGGAAGGGGACAATGTGCCAGATGAACTCCATGGGTGTCGTCTCGGTGAGGGGAGACCTCGCGGGTTCACAGTGCCTGAAAGGAAAATGAACCTTTCATATTCACAGTGAACCTCAAGAGGTCATTCTGCGTAATTCCTGGGCTCAGGCTTTTACCAATTAGCAGGTAACACCTAAACTGGGCGCATAAAGGAGGTGATGCTGGTCTTGGCTTTGCCATTTCTTAAAGAAGGTGAGATGGTGAAGGACCAATTCTCCAGTGCTTCCCCAGACCACCTCTCAATAGGGGTCCTTTGGTTTCCCTAATTGTTTGTTTGCCAGTGCAAGTCCCTAGCTAGCACAAATTTCACAGTTACTGAGCAAAACACTGAAATTCTGGATCTGAAGTTCTCCACTTCAACATGCACCGACTTGAGAAAACATGGGCCTCTGTTTTTTCTTCCTGCCTGCAGTTCCCCGGCCACGACACCACCAGCAACGTGATGACGCTGGCCCATGAAATAGGCCACAGCTTAGGCTTCAGCCACGACGACACGGAACAATTTCACGACAGATTTTGCAATTGCAACTGCACCCTCAGAGGATGCATCATGCGAACATCCCCGGGGTAAGTGAAGCTTGGCTTTCCCTACAGCACTAAGGGCGAGGTTTGGGCCGTTGCCTTTAGCTGCCCACCTCTGAGCAAACACCGTGTTTCTGAGGGGGGGTGCATGTGCTCATTCTTCCCCAGCACCTTTGCACCTTCCAGCTCAACTTGGCAGAGGAATGGGACTCTAAGTTGGCCCTGCTTTGTGCAGGTGGTTGGACCAGGGACTTCCAGACATCCCTTCCAACCTAAATCATGATGATTTGTCAAGTGAAATTAGTTATTTAGATAAAACGAGAGACTGCAGTTCTCCCTGAGACACAAATGCACAGAAAACTTGCCTTCCCTGGATCTGCTGGTCACAGAATATTTATTTTCTGCCTGCTTTCTCCAAGAGCTCTTTGGTTTTGGTTTCTTCATAGCCAGAGCTGCACCTCGTACCTGCTCTCTTGATGTAGGAACATCGTGAAGAAAAATAATTCCACTAATAAATTAATGTCTCCTGAAACTTGTGAAGAATATTTGGTAGATGTCAGCTTCTGTTGTTTTAGCATCAAAGACACCACACAATATTGCAGGAACATCCTTACAATGGTCAGCTCCACGTACCGCTGCTAATAGAATGTCTTTAAAAATGACTCGTTCCTCTCAGCTCTAGAGGTGTGCCCAACAGGCAGTGGACTTCAGCAGGCAGTGAAGGTTTTATCACAGATTTTTTGGCTTCCAAGTCTTAAGATCCTTTTCTTGGTGTGAAGAAGCCCTTGCCTCTGTTTCACTCCCTGCAACGCGCACACTGCAGCAACGAGAAGGACACAGGCTTCATGCTCAATATTAGACCCTTATTTTTACCGGAGACCAACAAAGCCTCCCTGAAGACATCAAGGATCTGAGAAACTGAAGTCTCCTGGCAGATTTGCCTGTTCTTTCAATACCATCAGCACTGAAACAGGCATTTCAGCGGGGTCGCCAGCAGTCCCGCTTCACCCCGAGATGATCCGCCCCATCCCATCCACCTGGAGGTCACCCCCCTGGTGACCTCAAGGGGACTGAGGACCCAGCTGGGGTGAAAACCTCAGCAAGTCTGAGCACTCTGCTTCATGGCTCTCTCGCCCCTCAGTTTTTGCCGTCATCCATTCCAATAGTACCCTGCTTATCCCGACGTACTCATCACAGTTATGTTTCCAAACCTCTCACTTTAGACAATAGTTCTTCCAGGATTCCTAAACAACAATTAATTGGCATGTTCAGTTGAGCTGTTTCCAATTTGGCCAGAGTAATTTCCATGCCCATATTTATACCTGAAAATAAGAGAGAAAAAAAGCTTATTCCCCCTAAAATGTTCCACATTCCTCTTTGCTAGTTAATCTATTTGTTCTTTAAGTCCATCAATTTGTTTATCTATACAGTATGGTTACTTTTTTTTTCTTTTTTTTTTTCTTATAGATCTTGCTTGGCATTCAGTAATTGCACAATGGGAGAGTATTACAATGAAGTAATAAGAAAAAAACTACCTTGCCTATTCAACAAACCATCTTTAAAATCACGTCTTCTTGAACTCTGTGGCAACGGTGTCTTGGAAAAAGAGGAAGAATGTGATTGTGGCAGTGACAAGGTTAGCAATTAAAAATTTCACTGCAGTCTACATGGTAGAATAGTGTTTATAAAACTGTGGCGGTTTTGCAACTATAAAAGCTCACTGACTCATGGGAAGAAATGATTTTTGAAGTGTTTGTTATACATTCAAACAAGCCCACTGGCTTCCACACCTGTGAATTCCCTTGAAATGGGGAACTTGCCAAATATGGCCTTATTTTAGGGCAAAATATGCATGACTTGCGTAAACACATGCAGAGCATATCTAGAGGTAAATTCAGGTTTTCTTCTAGTTTTTCTTTATTCTGTAATATTTACCCTGAAGTCGGTGAAAAAAGTGCTTTTCTGAAGTACTTGCACGTTGGCATCTTCGCAGCTATAATTCCAGGATCCATGTAGTTGAGTCACTTCAGAAAGTCTGTGTTTTCCAGTGAAAACTCTTGTTTGCGTTCTGTGTGATCATTGTTTGTACGAAGCTTCTGTAGCTTTGTCAAAACTCGTCCTTTGCACTGACATTTCTCATGTAAAACGATTTGCATGTACATTATATCCAGGCTTGGGCTGAACATCCTGCACTTGGCTGGTAAAGAGGATTCACCTGCTTTAAAAAATTACACTGGGAAAAAGCAAATCCTACCCCCGACAGCCCCCAGACCCCCAGTCTCTCCAGCCACTGGTCCCAGATCTCTTCTCCTCCGTCAGGCATGGGGCTGAGCCATACAATGCCCTGACCAGAAGCCCCTTTTTTATCAGCCCCTTTTGTCTCCCCTTTTTTCTATTTTCCCACACCTGTTTCTCCCCAGCCCACCTTAATCTCTCCCTGCCTTTGGTCCTTTCCCTAAACATCCCACACACAGCATTGCACATCCCCACATTTGCCTTAAAACATCCCACAATAAGTTTTACACAATCCTACGTTCCTTCTCAAATACTACATTATAAGTTTGAATCCTCTTCAGGAGACCCAAGAAAATTCTGTTTTCCATTAGCAACCTTAAAGCTCTGGTCTGATGTCCCCATTATCTCCCCTCTGTCATCACTGTGTGATCAATTTTTTATTCTTCCTGTCTCCTCTCCTTGCTTTTATGCTAAAAAGCCATTAACTATCAATCCTTACAAAGCAGATACTCTTACAACCCAGGTATCCTTAAAATTTGAGTAATTAATTGTGGTTTTGCCATAAAGTTCAGAGTCCATCAGCTTTAGCACTTTGAATGATTTGGGATTGAGATTGGGAATTTGAACTAAGGAAATGGTGGGTCATTGCTGAAAGAGTTGAAAAGGGGAAGGAAGGAAGGAAAGTATGAAAGAAAGAAAAAAAAAGGATAGAAAGGGAGGCTGATCTCTCCCATTGTGCTCAGCAAGGTTTCCAAGTGCTTTGGAAACATTAATGAACCTATTCTTAGAGCACCCCTGTGAAGCAGGTAGATTGGCTAATTAACAGAGGCGATGAGATGGTAGCACTAGTGTTCAGAGAAAAATGTGAATTGTTTTAAAAGTGCCTACACGAGGCATATTTCCCCTCAACACAGAACTCCAGAATGTCCGGAGTTTAATAAGGAGCAGAAAACAGCACTTTTTTTTTTTTTTTTTTTTTTTTTTCCTTTAACATCCTTTAAGTCTGTGTCTCTTAAGCTAGAGAAGCTGATGCAAATAAAAGCTCCTAACACTGAGATGGTGTGGCATTATTTACTTCCAGGCATGCCTGCAAGAAGGATGCTGCCTCTCCTCCAGCTGCTTGCTCACCCCGGGGGCTTCTTGTTACAGAGGCGAATGCTGTCACAAATGTCAGGTAACTTATAACAGCAACAACTCCTATTGGCTTTGTGACGTAGGGCAGACTAATGATTTGTTTTTCAGAGCTGTTAGTTAGATGCTATAATGTTTTTTTCCTGTATTTCTCAGTATATTTGGTCTGAAAATATCCATAAACTTGACCAGAAACTACTCATGCTTAAGTAGAAAACCAACAGTTTAGAAACACCAAAATTATGTCAGGCAAAAACCCTCAGCAGGAGGAGCAAACTGAGGGCGTATGGACAGAACTGACTGGCCCAACGCAAGCATCAGTGTCACAGACCAAACGTCCAGCAATCACAGGTGTGGCTGAAAGGAAAGAGATTTTAAAACCTCACTTACACTCCCGCTGATTTTGAACTTGTAGGGAAAATCCAGCAACACTATATTTGTAAAGAGATTTTAGATTCAACCTGAAAAGCACAAATAAAACCACGAGTTTCTCTGCTGGAATATCAGCAGTCACCGTTTGCCATGTCTCAATTTCTGCAGGACAGAAAGGGCTTTAGTCCTTTATGCCTTCCTCCAATCCCTATTCTGTCCGACTTTTTGCAAATCCAGGTTGCTGTTCTTCATCCTACACTTCTGGGACATTCCCTAAAATTCTGCCACAGGGGTTTCAGCGATTCAGGTCAGCCAGGATCTAGGGGGAAAAAAATGCATTCAAAATTTGTTTTGTGGGCTTTTCTTTACAGTTACAGCCAGCAGGAAAAATCTGCAGAGAAGCCAGGAGCGTCTGTGATCTCCCCGAGTACTGCAACGGCTCTTCAGGGTCCTGCCCCGTGGATGTATATAAGGAAGACGGAACCCCCTGCGGCAACAACCGCTGCTACGACGGGCACTGCCACAGCCACGAGGCACAGTGCAAGGCTTTGTTTGGCAGAGGCAAGAGATCTCACCCAAGGAGCTGCCCCATCTCCTCATGCAGAGTCAGCCCTCGCCGTCAGATAACGCTCCACCTCGCGTGTCCTCCCCCCTCCCTGCCCCCTGCTTTGAAAAAGTCAGTTTTCTCCGCAGTCACTGAAGATTCACTGTTTACCCTTTGTGAAGATTCACTTTTACTTTTTATATATATACTGCTTACTCTTTATATATCTACAGGCTTAGATAGATGGGCCAGTTCCTTAAGAATATAAGCACTCACATAAAAAATACTAAAGAATACTTTTTTTTAATACCCCATGATTTTATAACAATAGCTACATAACTACATATATATATATAGCAATGTGTATATAGAATATTGGACTCAAGGACTTTAAGGCTCTTTTCCAACCTAAATGATTCTACAGTTCTCTATATTTACAATAGTTAGGGTACCAGAAAAGGGGTTTCCTCGGGCGGCAGTTGTTGAGGTGCTGTTCAGGAACACCCCGTGCCCAGCGCGCGATGGGAGCAGCCAACGTGGCCACCCGTGTCCACTCTCCCGAAACAAAGATGCGCAGGAGACCGTCGTCGGGATCACTGTTGCACCTCTGAAAGCGACCGCAACCTACAATTCGTGCATCTAATTTCCCCCCCCAGTCCAAACCTGAAGCACGCATGTGATTTTTTTTTTTTTTGAACCCTTGCCCACATCCTCTTTCAGATTATTTCAGTTCTGCAGGAAGTAACCAAACTTCCCCAGTGCACGTGTCCTCAAGCTGTGGCAGCACGGATCTATTCTGCACTGCCTCGTTAGTGATAGCAGTAATACCCATCACGATCTGAGTCCTAGGTTTCTTTATGAGCATACAAAAGTCTTCTGTGAATAAAACCACAGTTCCCCTGTGAGCCACCACATTTATGAGAAGTTTGGAGTCTCTGGGAACTCCTGCACATGAAGACAGTAGCATTTCTCATGTAAGGCATTGCTGGGAAAGGCAAGGATATTGAGAAGGCAGAATGTTTTGATAAGACAGAATACTTTTGGCATCATTTTGACACAGGACACCAAAGGAATTGCCACATGAGTGTCTATACGGTGCTAGTGTGGCCAACAGTGATCTCAGCCACCTCCGCGGGACAGCTGGGAAGTCTGGCAGTTGGTTTTACTTTGAGAACATTTTGGATGCTTGAAAACTTGTAAAAACACCTGATGGGAGCCCTGCATTGACCACGGGCTTTCCATCCTCTCCCTCAGTGCTCTGGTACTCTTATACAACCCTTGGTGAATATAAAGATGTTCTGAAGAAACTGAGAGTCCTCTGGGTTGGAAATGGTTCTGCCTTCATGAAATCCAGATCTCTGAGCTGTTTCTGACATCTGATTAGTGCTGCTAATACTGAATATAATGCTAGTGATGTTGGTTTCACGTTAAATGTAAGATATATGAAGTCTAACAGAAAGTTAGACAAAGAAAAAAATAGGTTTGGGAAAGATTTTAGGCTTTTAATCCCATTTTACGCTCTACGTTGTTCTGTTTAAATGACCATGGTCCATTCTGATCATTGGTCAATCTCTTGGTGGCAAATCTGTTCATTTAGCCACTTCATTCTCACATTGGTTATTCTGGTTCAAAAGAGGACGAGAAGTGAAATAATGGGGGGGGGAAATCCCAAAAAACATGGCAAGTTGAAAGCAAGCTGTGGTTGACTAGAACTTAATTTCAGAGAAAAACAAAACAAAACAAAACAAAACAAAACAAAACAAAACAAAACAAAAAAACAAACGAAAAACAAAACAAAACAAAAAAAAAAAAAACACAAAAATCATCTGGAAAGATTAGGGGGGGGTGGACAGTCCCTGCCTCTCCGTGAACATCTCCTTTTGCTGTCTCGCTCTGCAGCCGCCCATCGCGCCCCGCTGAGCTGCTTCAGGGAAGTAAATGTTCGAGGCGACCGGTGTGGGAACTGCGGCTGGAATGGGATGTACTACACGAAATGCCTGGAAGAGTAAGTGCTGGTTACTGGTGGTGACTGGCGTCCCAGTCCTGCCAATAGCCAGGCAGGACTGGGACATCACTCTTACTCATTGCTGTACAAGCACACAAATAGAACGTTGTTTCTGAGGGGTTTTTAACTTGAATTTTTTTGGTTGGGATTAGGCACAACAAGAGAAGCAGCTTTTTCTATGAGGCTCTGTTAGGCTCTTCTGCCTGGTTTTTATAGATGAAGGAGTGATGTGCGAGCATTGCCGAGAGCCTACCTGTCTAACAGTCCAAGTAGGGGAAGAAAACACATGTCAATTTGCAGCAGCATTTCTTCAAGTTGGGTCCTTCTTGCACTTTAGTTTCAACCCAAAAAGTTATGTGAGGACTGTTTTCTTTTTTACAGGAGCTGACAGAATTTTCTTCTTTGCTTGTCCAGAACAACTTTAAATCTTATCTCCCAGCATTAATGGAAGTTCAGTCCATGACACTTTCCAGCTTTCCTGCAGTAAGGGGTCATCCCATCACCAGGCGAGGGCTTTGATAATGGGTTCAGTTTGATAATGGGTTCTCTACCCCGTTTTCTCCTATAGTATTAATTCTTTCCATGTTGCTGCCATGCACAGCAGTCATCAGTCAGTACATCTTGAGAGACATCTCTAGATAGGCCAGTGTTGCAGCGTGCAGTCCCTCAACTTTTGAACTCATCACTCTCCAATCCTTCCTCTGTGGTCATCTCCTGAGTGCAGGGCCTGCTGAGAACGACCCACACTTCAGTGCAGGCATGGACAATCATCCAAAAGGAAGAAGATCATTTACCAGGACCTTGGAGATTTTCTGTCCTTATGAATATTAACATTCACTCAAAAATATTAATTTGCTAGTACCTAGCCTTTCCTCATGCTTGCACTGTGGCAGTTCACCAAGGAGGGGGACGTTGCGGTCATTAGAGAAGACACTAGGATGCAAATTCAGAATTTGAGCTTATTTCCTGTTTTCCTACTGAGCACTACACAGGCGGCACCTGAGCTTCACTGTTGCCACCCCTGGGCAGAGAGATGTGTTTCTGAATAACTACACCCAATTTTTCCTGGCATAACCAGCAGTATTTCTCACACAGGATATAAAATGGGCAAAACACATGACAAGTGAGGGTCAAAAACTCAAATGGAAGTGTCGCTGCAGCTTCTGGAGAGATACATGAAAGGGCTGTGCCTTTGCGCCCAAGGCACTGACACCAACTGGTTAAAAAGAGTCTGTGTCGATACTAGTTAAATGTCTTAACCTCAGAAAAGGGGTGGTTGGAGGCAAACTGCCTAAAATGATAGATCCTGGGCAGCTGGAGCCTCTGCCCGTGCCCAGGGTTGTTCCCAGCGTGTGAGCTGGAACCAGTCAAACTCATCCCAGGGTGTGGACCAGCGCCACGGATCACCACATCCTTGGATGTCTCGACAAATGCTGCAGCAGTCTGTCTGTCCCTCCCAGGAACGTCCTGTGCGGAAGAGTGCAGTGTGCCAACATTGACAGGGTACCCGCCAGGCAAGACGGCGAGACCGTGGTTCAGACTATCGTGAACGACCAGCTCTGCTGGGGCCTCGACTTTCACCTGGACCCAGACACCCCTGACGAGGGATCCGTGAAAGACGGCACATCGTGCGGTAGAAACAAGGTACCCTTAGAAAGCTGGGAGGGATATACGAATAGCACAGGGCGGAAATTAAGTGGAAGGATTTTATGTTTCTAAAGAAGATGTTCTGGATCTCTGATATAAATACCATAGTGCCTTCAGGCCCCCTTTAGCAACTGAAAAATACCAAACATTGGGTTTGTGGTTTGTTTGTTTGTTTTTTTTTTTCACCTCAGACAGAGGGGCCAACAAAATAGCTGCTGTTTTTTTCATTAGAAGGGAAAAGCAATAGATTGCACTCTTCTTTTGAAGCTACTAACCAAAGTCAACCTTTTTTTGTTGTACATACAAAAGAATTTGAAGTGTTGTTCACTTCTTCCCTTGGACCCACACAGAAGACCAAATTCCTGTCAAGCTGGTGACATATTAAAGGATGAGTTTCCTTCTATCACATGGCAGGGAAAGCATTTCTAAGAAAAGCAGAGGTGCTGAGTTCCACCAAAAGGGAAGGAGCCGCTCAGTGCTGGCTTCGGTAGAGTTGTCCTTTCAGGAGACATGGGTTTCACACCACCAAATGCAAACATTCATCCCAAAAACAACTAGTTTGCAAGGCAAAAAGTTGAAAGTATATCTCCTTCATTCTCCTTCTGCACAGAGGAGATGCGTTTGTGTCTCCTAGAGCTAGGAAGATGCTCCAAGTTATTCACTGCCCGAAGGAAGCATCTTCTGTAGTTCCAAGGTCTTGTTCATGCGGACTGGACAGGACAAGACCGGAGTTCCTGAGCCACGAACTGCCAAGAACTGGAGAATGTGCTGGGGGAATAGCACGGCATTTACATACAAAGCTCAGGCCGGTTGTGTCTGAGAGTCCATCCAGCCCAGAATCCTCCACCAGTCTCAGGCAGGGAAGGGTATTAACAGAGCACACACACATGGTGCTTCCTACTAATACTGGCACTACTTTCCATCATTTTCAACTCTAAGTTACTCAGTTCCTGAGGTAGAAGTGACTTCTGTGCCCTCACTCTGTAACCCTCAGTGTGTATGTTCAGTCTCCCCGTGGGTTTGTCCTGAATGTGGAACTTGAGATCTTCATTTTATGCATCCCTGGTGCTCGTTTGGAGACTGAAAAGTCTTGAATGAAATGCAGCGAATGACTGAAAAGTCTTGGCCCGCTGTTTCGCACTACTTTCACCCCAATTCACCAGCCAGTGCCCTTTCCCAGTATCTGACATTTTATCATTTCACTAATAAAAATCTGCCTCTCTCTGCAGATATGTATGAACAGGACATGCGTCAGCGCAGCTTTTCTCAACAATGACTGTACGGAGAAAAAATGCAATGGCAGAGGGGTAAGTAGAAAACATCTAAGTATCCTTTGAATAGTAGAGTATATGAAGTGTAAATTTGTCTCTCAAAAGCAGTATTGGAAGTCCAGAATCATTCCTGATTCAGCAGCACAGAGATTATTTTGATTTTCACCCGTGACTGTCCTCCCAGATTCTGCTCTGGCCATGCCCAGCAATTCATAGCAATTTGTTGGTCACTTTTACCATTTGTCTTCTTTGTTCCCTCAAATATTGTGAAAACCAACTTCCACATCATAACACTCCATCCATGAATGCGTCTGTCAGTGCTACTGAATTTAAATTAGGCGGAGTCGGAATGATCTTCCAAAAAATGCATGCTCAGTTCTGTAACCTCACTTTCCTTTCAAATGACACAGAAACGGCAGATTTTGTACAGCATTGGCTGCACTGTCTTACGTAAAGTCTACATTTCCAACATTAATACTGGCAGAATTATTTCGCATGTGGGGTTTTGGTTTTTTTTTTTTTTTATTACATCACTTCCAAGGTACCTGCCCCTTTCCAGACAGATCGTAGATGAGCAGAAGATCTGTCTGGGTGTTAATGTGGATGCTAAGGGAGAATATTAGTAAGATTTGCTATTATTGGTCCTTTATCTGTAATTTCCAAGGACCAGTAAGAAAAGTTACTGGCAGTTTGTCAACCTGTAATTGGAAGGGTCTGAAGTCTGGTTTTCTTCTGCTCTGTCACCAGCTGTAGGTGGCTGAATCCATCAGAAGTTATGCTCTTGGCAACAGTGTTCTCAAAGTAGTTGGAATAATCGTGTCTTTTTGCCTTCGCCAAAGGAAAAGGCTATAACCCCCCCAAATTCACGCTTTTCTCTTGGGAAGCGGCTCTCTAAACTAAACAAACACAGACAGTAATTAATAATTATTGCTCTATATGGTTTGGGCTGCACAAGTGGGTGAAGAAAGCTAGCCTCGACCCTGTCTCCCCAGAAGAGACAGAAATGCTACTCGAAGCAGAGACGCTATGTTTGGGTGGGAAATGGTCACTACCTACACGGGCGTGCAAATTTGAGATGGGGGGAGCAGAGCTGTGGGTCCATACTCTCAGACAACAACGCAAATCTAGGCTAATAACAAATAATAAGAAAAACAATAGGAAAAAAAAAATAGGAAATTGGCCAACGAGCATCTAGAGAGGGTTAAAGAGGCTCATTTCTGCATCATCTCAGCGCGTGGCACTGACACAGGCTGACCGCAGCCCCCCACTGCAATGTGGCCCAAAATCCCTGAGGAGCTTTTCCCTCTGCTCCTCGCCCACAGCAAGGATGCTCAGGCTGCTCGCCACCCCCCGCTGCACCCCACCAGAGGTTCAGCTGTGAGTGAGAACCGAGAAACACAGGAGCCAAGTAATCCAGCCCAGACAGGACAAATAAATAGGCAACCAAGGGAGTCATGGTCCTATCTTGCAGGAATTAAAAAAAAAAAAAAAGAAAAAAGTAATTTTTGAATCACATGAAGGTGACAAATTAATTTTTGACGTATTTGTGAAATACGTTGTCGTGACAGAAATAGTCAAAGCATTCACAAGCTCAGGGGTAGCTCTGCAATTAATAAAGACTGCAAAAACACTTCCCAACTTTGAGACTAAAAATGGCTCGAGAACTGCAAAAAGCACTCCTACTAAGTCGGAAAAAGACAACTATAACCATCTTTCACTTTCTATATGCTGTCATCTCTTCCCGCTGTGTTTGTAGCACCTCTTCCAGCGGGACCATCACCCCAGTGATGGGTCGGGAACTCCCACTGCCCTCACTTTGCAGACACCTAATGATGGGTAGGAGCCACACAGCTCACGACAGCCTGTGACCAGGGGCACCAGTCTCTCACCTTTGCTCAAAACAGGCTGAACATTTCCACAGTGGCAGCTAAAGCCGAGCAACAAATTTATCTGAGGACATGGATTCCATCCAGCCTGTCTCTGCTGTGCCTGCCGGCAAGCTGTGCTAGCAGCCTGTTGTTCAGAGAAACGCAGGGCCGCCTCGTGATTATTTTTCGTGCCATAAAACACGTGTTTTCATTTAGGTGTGCAACAATAAGAGAAATTGTCACTGCGATTTCGGATGGGCCCCTCCTGACTGCAAGCTGGTAGGATTTGGGGGCAGCGTTGACAGCGGACCGCCTCCTTCTTTGCACAGTAAGCGCGGTGGGGTGGCCCCTCTCTGCACATCGCGCTGCCTTCGCTTTTGTTTTTCTTCAACAGGTTCAGCAGTTCTCCATCTATACTTCCAGATCACTTCAGACTTCGTTCAGGCATCTCTTTGTCCCTTGCTATTTAGCCGTGTCAGATTATTATTTTTTTTTCTTACCTCGCCTTCTTTTTTTCTCATTCCAGCTGTGCTTGCCTGGCCTGGCTCTATCAAACTATTCTCAGGGCACTCACACAAAGTGCAGATCGATTCCATTTAGCGCAGGGGCCACGCTGCCAGCACACGGTTCATTAAGATGGTTTATGAGGGGTGTCTTCTGAGCTCATCGAAACCCTCTTAGGAGAATCTTCTTCTCCTCTTAACACAGATTTCCAGCAGAGCTCCAGTCCTGAGAGGATAGAACATAAATAAATATGATCCTGGAACGTACCTCTGAGATGCATACTTCTACCCTCCTATACATTAGGTGTTCTAACTTGCTAATTAAGAAATAGCACGCAGCCACTCAGCAGTGCTCCACAAACCCATCAGCACCTGGCAACCTCCAAGCTCTTCCCCAACCCTCTTCGCTCATTAGTTCTGATGATGATGATGATGATGATGAACTATTAGATCTTTCTGCTGTTTATTTGACCAGGCAAATGGCAAGTTGCTCAGGCAGTAACAGGCCCACGGGCACTGCAGAAAGACAACTCTTTTGAGCAGATAACAGCTCATATGTTAAATCAGTTGCTCTTCAAATATCAACCCACTCTGGTGTTTCACCTGCCTGCGTGGAGGGCAGGGTACCCACATGGTAATGTTCTGCTCCTCTCAAATCATGGAGAAAGGCCAATGCCAAGTTTTAGGCTTCTACCTGGGTCTCCTTAGAGGTTGCTTAGGTGTCCCTTTTGCATTTTCCCTATGAAAAAACTCTCATACATATTTACTCATACACTAACTACACACTAAAGGAGCTGAAGTAAGTATTCAGCTCATGTTACTTATTGTTCAGCGCTATACTTGGATATTTCTCCATCTGCATGTCCTTATCAGGGAACCACATCGGACGCCTTCCTGCTCATTCTCTATGTCCTCAAACTCCTTACCACGCAGTCCCAAAGTCTCCTGGTTTCCAGGCCTACAGAGCATCGCTTCAGCCTCTACACTGCATACCTCAAGGCTTTTTATTGTTTCTCAAAAAGATAAGAAGGCCGATAGCTCCCAAGTAGCAGTGGTGGAGGTGCCTTGGAGACCCAGCCTGAGAGCAGAAGGGAGGGAGCATGCAAGTGAGCATCTGCTCATTTGGGGTTGAGTGCTTGAGCTAATTAATATCTGAACATCCACAACAAACGGCTGTTCCGACGAGCGTTTTGTTGTGCCAGGAACGCCTGGTGCACACAGAGCGTAACATTCTCTCTTTCTCTCTTCCAAGTGCTGAGAGTTGCAAGGAATATGGGGAAAGCTGCTGGAATCCTCTTACTCTTCTTGACTTTGGGCCTTTTGCTATACAAGAGGGTTGCCATCGCTCAGTGGATCCGGAGGTAGGTAAAGCTCCACTGATCTTTACATCACCCAGCAAAAATGAGGCGCATTTAACAATTTCTAACCAAGGGTCCCAGCATCCCTCTCCACGAAGTGTCTGTTGCTTCAAAGACAACCTGCAGGATAACGGAGTGGAACGTGCTCTAATCTGAAAACAGAGCTTTGTCGCAGACACCTCTTAGCCAGAAACAGCAGCTACTGCTGAATAATTTTCAGTCCTTTCTGGCATTTTTTAAAAGTTTTCCACAGAAATTTTGAAATGAACATTGTTGTCTAGCTCCAGGATAATTTTTCATAAAGTTCAGCTTTTTCAAAATGGCTCTTCTTTTCTTCTCTTTTGGGATGTTTAATCCCTTTTTTTTTTTTTTTTTTTACCTTTTCCTTTGCTTTTCACTTTCCTCACTCACTGGAAAATACAAATAAAAGTTGAAAAAAGAAAGATTATTAAATAGTGTGCGGAGGATAAGCACTCTCTTATCCTCTCACTGTTTTGCACATTTTTCCCAGGTCAAACGGGTTTATAAGCTTAACTGAAAGAATATGGGAATGTGACTGCAGACAGGGAGAATGTTCAAAATCCCAAACCAGAAAATGAACAATGACATTCCCCTCGATGATCTCTGCACATCCACGTGCTTCAGATTTGCAGGGCTCATTTATTCTGCCACGAAGTAGGAAAAAATACATGGAGTTTTGTTCTGCTCTTCGCAGCAACTCTGTCCAGTACCCAGCTACCCCGTGTACCAGCAAATTAAGTACCTCCACCCCATGTCAGAGTCTCCAGAGCAGATATAATAAATGCTTTCCCCTTATCACAGTGATCTGTGGTATCTCTGGACCTCAGGTAAGAGATAGGATTTAACTTACTCCATAGTTCTATTTTCTTGTCATTTTATACATCCATGTCAGAGAACACAATTTAGAAAAAAAGAAAAGCCACAATATTTCTCATAAGGCACTTGTCCATAAACTAAAGCATCTTATTCTGCTTGAAGCCACTGTCCAAAATTCAAGTTCACTGAGCACTTTACGTTACAGGTGGCAACTTAGAAGACAGGAAAAAAATCGTAATACCACTCCTCCTCTGAAAGAAGTAAGTGTGTTCCCCCATCTCTAATTTCAAAATTACATTCTCAAAGGGGTTTGGAGAACTTTAACTTCTCAGTACTTCCCAAGCATCTTTTTCCTTTCTCAGTAATCCTGGCCCCTCCAGTTCTTCCCGTGCAAGTCAAAAGCTGCCAGTGAGGACATACCCAAAGAGTGTGCACGACATACCTGCAGAAAATTGGTTTGGTTTATGTCATAAACCAATGTTAGAAATATAATATAAATAAATATAATATAAGTAAACTTATAAGGCTAGGATAAAAATACCCGGTTCCTATAAATAGAAGTGCATACAGACTGACTGCCTCAAGAGCTGGCATTAGCACAACGACACAGCTGAAGCAAGCACAAGCAAAATGCTAGCCCTTGACAGGAAAAATAAGAATTTTGTCTACATTGAGACAAATATAAGATCTCTCCCAAAATGAGCAATATGAGGTGACAGACATCACAGTGTCCTGGCAGGGAACTGCCAGGCAGGAAGGTCAAGTTCAAGCCTCTGCGCTGGTCCTGGCCATGGGGCTTTTCTGCGGTGCCTGCTCCTGTTCAGCAAGCCTGCTCTATCCTCCAGGAATTTGGCTAATCTAAACTACGTCAAATCTGATGCAGTTTCAGCAGATCAACTTTTCCAAGGAAAAGCTCCCTAGAAAAAGGAAAAAAAAAAAAAAATCCTGCCTCTTCTAGTTAGAAAAGCAGAAGAAAACAGATAAGGAACCAGAAAACAGAAAATACAGTAGGAAAAAAGAGCAGCTAAGGTCTCACCTCGCACCATGTGTGCAGGGATCAACTATCCAGGGGCCCAGAGGAGAGTCCTGGGGTCAGAAACTCATCGTCTTCAAGGAAAAACTGGAAGATGTGGGTTCTATAAATTGAAGAGGTGACTGAGAGGATATCAGGTTCAAGACCATCTAAGGAGTCTGAAAGTGCCCAAGTGCATGGACCTGATGAGATGCATCCACGAGTCCTGAGGGAAGTGGTGGATGAAGTAGCCAAGCCACTGTCCATCATATTTGAGAAGTCGTGGCAGTCCAGTGAACTTCCCACTGACTGGAAAAGGGGAAACATGACCCCCATTTTTAAAAAGGGAAAAAAAAGAAGACCTGGGGAACTTCAGGCCACTCAGTATCACCTCTGTGCCCAGCAAGATCATGGAGCAGATCCTCCTGGAAACTATGTTAGGGCACATGGAAAATCAGGAGGTGATTGGTGACAGCCAACATGGCTTCACTAAGGGCAAATCGTGCCTGACAAATTTGGTGGCCTTCAACGACAGGGTTACAGCGTTGGTGGACAAGGGAAGAGCAACTGATGTCATCTACCTGGACTTGTGCAGAGCATTGACACCGTCCTGCACAACATCCCTGTCTCTAAATTGGACAGACAAGGATTTGATGGGTGGACCACTTGGTGGATGAGGAATTGGCTGGATGGTCACACTCAGAGTTGTGGTCAACGGCTCCATGTCCAAGTGGAGAGCGGTGACGAGTGCCGTTCCTCAGGGGTTGGGGTTGGGCCCGGCGCTGTTTAACATCTTTGTTGGTGAGAGGGACAGCGGGATAGATGCACCCTCAGCGAGTTCTGATGACACCAAGCTGTGCGGTGACACTGGAGGGCAGGGATGCCATCCCGAGGGACCTGGGCAGGCTGGAGAGGTGGGACCACGTGAACCTCATGGAGTTCAACAAGGCCAAGGGCAAGGTCCTGCCCGTGGGTCGGGGCAATCCCCAGTGAGGAGGGGATGCAGAGCAGCCCCAAGGAGAGGGAATTGGGGGGGTTGGTGGGGGGAAAACTGCCTGTGAGCCAGCACCGTGTGCTCACAGCCCAGAACCCACCCGTGCCCTGGGCTGCAGCCAGAGCAGGGGGGGCAGCAGGGCCAGGGAGGGGATTCTCCCCCTCTGCTCCGCTCTGGGAAACTCCAGCCCAGGGAACAGGAGTGAAGAGAGGAGGTGCCTTGGTTACATTTGCAGGTAAATTTCCCTAGAAATTTAATATAGCATGGCAACTAGAAGAGTCACAAACAGAACATGAACTAACCCAGATCAAGACCTGTCCAAAGCAGCATCTCATCGCCAGCACGCAGTACCAGCCTGGGGAAAGCCCCATCACCAGGACACTGTGAGCTGATCCTCGTCTCCTCAAATTCTGCTGATGGCCACAGCTTGCACCCAGACCACGGGATTTAAAGGTTCTGTCGGACTCACCCCCTCCACAAATGCGTCTCATCCTTCTGAACCTATTTATCCTACTGCGCACACACACACCCCACACACACACACACACACACCGGGGTCCCGTGGCTGTGAATTTCACCAAAAAGAATCAAAATCTTCACCTTCTGGAGGCGCATCCTTCCAAACAGTTCCACTGTTCCAGTACATATTTCTTAAAACTGTAAACACTGGACTCTGTACCACCAGCACACTAACAAAATAACCCCCATTTAAGTAGAATATGCTGTACTAACTTTAACATTTTATTTTTCAGGAGAACCTAGCAGAGGAAGAGGAAAGCCTTTCTAAGGACTAAGCCTGATTCTTCACAGGACACAAGACCCCAGGGCACTGAAAACAGCTTATGCACCGCTCTGAGAAGGAAATGCTGTGCTTCCCAAATCTGTCACATTCGTTTGGGATTTGTTCTGCTTTAAATAGCAATGTTACCTTCACTGGAATAAAAGGTTTTCTTCCTATTTCTGTTTACAGCAAATATCTTGTTGTCTAGGAGGAAGCTGGACTCCACGCTCTTCCAGGAGTTTCCATCTCTGCTCCTCACACATTTCGCATCTGCCATGGCACCAGTCTGGGTCGTCACTTTATGGGCCTTGCAAACGCTGTAGGCAGGCACATGGCAGGCTGTACCTCGACATTTTGCATCTTTTTAGGCCGAGTGTTGCGATTTGTGAGTCCAGAGCAACTGACGATGAACACACAACCCTCATGCAGACCTTGTCTGTGGCCAGGGCAAGCTTAACACCACAAGCCCATGTGTGCCTGAAAGGACACATGGATTGCAGGATGGTTCCAAGTCCTTAGGATTCCTCAGCCTCCTTTTTTAGACTGGCTGATGGGAAGTCCACCTCCCAGTTCCCTCCTGTCTGCTTGGTAGACCAAAGAGCAGACCCATCATTTCTTTGACTTCTCAGGCAAAAGAGAAAGAAAAAAAAAAAAAAAAAGCATTTCTGTTTGAAATACTCATCCCTGAACACACTGAGCCATGTAGTTGCCTTGCATGGGTCTGGATTTCAGAGTCACAGCAGAGGATGGGGCTGGATGGGCTCTGTGGCCATACAGATGTACACAAGGTCTGCTGCATTCAAAAATGAGAACAAAGAACGGGGGTGAAAAAAAAAAAAAAAAACAAAACACTATCAGTGTGCTTGCCACAAATGATCTGGTACCAACTCTTGATAGCCATTCCTGTTCTAACTTTCAGCTGATCTTCCCCCAAATTGCACAGGAAATCCTTGGGGCTCAAAACAGCTAACTCCAACAACACACAGTCTTGGAGAAATGGCCTTCCCACTTCTCCCTGAAGCTAAGCAATGACTACAAAGGAAATATAGTAGTCCCAAATTTACATTTTGCTCACAGGGAGGTCCTGGGAACACCACTGTCCACCACCTTCTCCCTGATTTTCATCAGCTCATCACAGTGACTGGCACCTTGGCCAGAGCGAAATACTCTTTAACTTGGTCCAAAAGGTTGGCTTTTCAGGGCAATGAGCCTCCAAGAAGGGCAGGCCTCCCCAACTTTCCAAGAAATCCTCTACATCACTCTGAGGTTTCCCATAAATGTACCAGGGGTGATGACTCTCGGTGTGGAGCCCACAGGAACATGACAGAATGCTGACTAGCTGCCACTCGAGGAACAGCTCGTTTCAGCACCCATCTCATCCTACCCCTTGGAGAAGCAGTACTGACCATCACCTCTACTGTGCCCGAGACGAGAACACACCCCAAAACTTCTTCACCAAATAATGGATGTTCTTAAGATAACCCTGCAGGGAAAATAAATGTTTGATAAATTGTATCAGCACCCAAAACATCAATTTTATCTTACTATAGGGCACTGAAGCCTGTAAAACAATGGTGTCTTCGAAAAGCAAATACTGGGTACCTTCATCTACATTCAGAGGAGTCACATCTCGTCCCATAAGCCTTAGTAAAAGCTCCTCAGATCATTTTGTCTTAAGAGATCAGCTCTGTGAGGCGAGCCAGGCTGCCTCAAAACCTTCTCACTTCCCATTCTTCTTCTCCACAGGCTTGCAGGGATTCTGTGGTGACAAATTATCTATTGTAGAATAAAAAAGACTCACTTGTGCTTCTTGGAGAAATACAAATGTCCTCTTTATATAGAGCAAATGGTTTGTTTCCACATGGGGGCTAAATGAACAGCTAAGTGCCCTCAGCCATGAATGAGGAATGACAACCTCAGCCTTCACTAATTTCATTCTTAGACCTCCAGGGCTGAGCCATACATTTTCATGGATAAGCTCACCCTTCATACAAAAATCCTCTGAGAGCCCACCTAGTAACATTCCTTTGATGAATACAGAGTCTTTCCTCTAATCTTTCATCAGCTCTAAGCCTTCAGCAGTGACAGTCACTCACCCCTGAAGACTGCAATATGTCCGGACCTCAATAACTGATTAACTAAAGAAAAACTGTGACAGCTAGTCAAAAGGCTCTGCCAGATCTTACCGATCCGCCCTACGTGACAGTTAAATATCAGAAAGGAGAGTTATTTCTCTCCTGAGTTCAGAGAGCAGAGCTGAAAAGAGCAGTGACAGTTTTCATGAAAACAAGGCCTTGGCACTTCAGGACAAGTTCAAGAAGACGCCGTCCTACAGAGCTCAGCAGCCAGGTTCACACTCCCAGCCTTTGAGGTTTGCATATTAGTTTGCCAAATTTCATCCGTACACACTCAAAGTGTGATAAAATGGAGTATCTGCCCACAGATACCGCCTGTACACGACAGCAGAGATCCTCAGGGAACCCTTCTTGTTAAACTCGTTGTGGGGATTTTTCAGACTCAGGCTCTCTCGACCTCTGGAGGAGTTTTCCCACAAACCGGCAGACCTCAAGAGCCGCTCGGTTTGCTCTGGCAGGGTTCCCTCCTCGCTGTGAGAGGTGATGGCCTGGCCCCTTGTGATTCCACTTGCGAGGAAGAGGCGATACGTGGGCTTGAACTCCTTCGGGGGGCACTGCCAGCCTTCCTGCCCACGAGCTGTGCTGGTTTTTTGTGGGGTGGGTTTTGGTAGTGGGGAGGGGGCTACGGCAGTGACCCCCATGTGAGAAGCTTCTCAAAGCTCCCGCAGCTCCAAGCTGGACCAATCTCTGGCCGGAGCCAAGCCCATTAACTGCCCCTCTGTGATAAAGTATTTAAGAAGGGGAACCTGGGAGGGGGTTGGGGACTTGTGAGGAGGAGTTGGGAGAAGGATGAACACCAAGGTCAGTGGAAGGAAGGAGGAGGACATGGGGGACGTGCACCAGAGCAGAGACCCCTGGATCCCGTGGGGTGATGGCAGGGCCAACCCCCTGCCACCCATGGAGGTCTCCGGTGGAGCAGATGCCGACCTCAAGCCTGTGGAGGAGCCCACACCAGGACAGGAGACTGCGCTTAAAGGAGGCCGGGACTCTGAGGGGAGAAGCAGCCCCCGCTGTTGTGGTTCGGCACTGGGAGGGCTGCAATACGTGGGGGGGACACACGCCAGAACAGAACGGGAACGGCTGCGGCCCGTGGGGAGGACTCACTGCGGAGAAGGTTCATGGAGGACTGTCTGCAGTGAGAGGGGAGCCCTGTGGAGCAGGGGAGGGATGGGCAGCGTTCACCCCTGTCCCAAGAAGGAAGGAGCAGTGAGCTGGCTGTAACCCCCATCCCCTGCCCCTGCGCTGCTGGGGGAGGAGGGAGAGAGATGAGGAGCAGAGGTGAGCCTGGGGAGAAGGGAGAGGTACGGGGAGGTGTTTTGGATGTGGTGGTGCTTCTCACTGTCCCCACCTTGTCTGTTAAGTGTTGTCTTTGTTAGCGTTGAATTCAAGTGATGTTCTTTTTCTTCTCCTAACAAGTCTGTCTTTTGGCCATGACCCTAATGGGTGAGCCACCCCTCCCTGTCCTTATCTAGATTCCTGAGCCATTTTGCTCCATTTTTCTCCTTCCCATTCCTGAGGGGGGAAGGGGTGAGTGAACAGCTGGGTGGTGCTCAGTTGCCCTCTGGGCTCAAGCCACTACACAGCGTCATCGCTTCAGTGCCACCAAGGCTGGGGCACAAGAGGATCACGCTTCTGTGACAGACAAAAGGGTAACTCACCCTGCAAGAACCAAATTTTCCAAGGAACGACACAGCCATGGTTATTTAAGTAACTTCTGGGGTGCAGCAATAACACCGGTCTGTGTGGGGCTGCACAGACACACACATCCACTCCATACGGGGACAGATTTTTGTTTGTGTGGAAAAGCTACAGTGAAGTCCAAATAATGTCCTGAGCCTCTTTCCAAGCTCCGGAGGGTGGCTCAGCTATAGAAATTGCAACCAGAAATATTATTTTTACCCTTGTAACTACTGTGTAACATTCAGACCGCTCGAACATGCAGTAGGCAAGTACCATTTCATCTCATTTAAAGGGCGTATCAGTTCTCAAAGTGACGATTTCCGTTCCAAGCTCCTCCACAGTTTCCTTTCCTAACGTACATGTCCCCAACGCCCAAAACCAGACGCAGCACAAAGCCAGCGGGCTAAGAGAAGCAGCTAAGGCTGCAGGTACTCTCAGTCTCCTTCACCTTACCAGGCTCTTTGCATGCAAAAAAAAAAAAAAAAACACCCTACCTCAAACAAATATTATTTTTGCATTTTCTTAATATATATGACAAAGTCCCATGCTGGAGCATAACAAAACAGCCCAGTCTGACCTTATTATCCTAACTCTGTAATGACTGTTCCCATTTTTTACTCTTTCCTCTTTAACATTCTGAGATTAAAACATTTCTTTTCTGTAGAGATCTTGAAAAAAAGCTTTAAAATGTTTATTTTGTTTCAACTTAAATGGCTGTTTCACTTGTTATCTTCATCCAGGCCTTGGTAGTTCAAAACCACCCTGCATTATCTGTAGTACTGGAGGGCCTTTTCTCTTTTGCCTCCACTTACCCACTTTTCTCCCTTAGTGCACCGGAAAGATAAAGAGAATGTAAAATAAAAGGCAAAAATGTGCAGCGAAAACCGTTTTGGGGCTCTTTGCTTTCCCCAGCTGGAATCCACAGCATCCAGCCACTCCCCGCACTGTTGTGCCTCGTGTTCCTTCTCCTCAGACAGTGGCCACCAGGAGATAATTTCCAAACATTTATTACCACCCCCTAAACCGGACCTTGGAGTTCAGGGGACACAAAACCTGTTTCTCCGTGGATTATCAGGGATGGAGGGCAGGAGGAGAGCAAGGTTGTACCACAGCTCCCAGCCCTTCCTTTGGTATTTCTACTTTGCTCTGCTCTCACACCTTGCTGGACACCTCGAGCTGATTTTGGCCACTTGTCCGCCTCAGGCTAAGCTCATGTCCTGCGATTAATGC